ATCATATCTATTTATAGACCTCACTGAAGAACTCTACCAGGAAATCCTGTACTATCGCTTTGTCTGGTATGGTGGCGATCATTCCGTACATGGCGGCTGTCCCCTCCTTGGCAAGAGACTTGTTTTTCTAAAACAAATAATAAATTAACTTTAATCTCTTCAATCCTTGCAAAATATAGCTTCAATAGAATAAAAGTGCAATTCCCTCACTGAGTTATAATATATATATCTTACTGGTAAAATGTAATAAGTTATGAAACCGCTATCATTATTATTTTTAACTGACCTTGACCTCCTGCGTTGAATCCTCGAGGTCTTTCAACAGAGAATCCGAGACTCTCACGTGATGAGGAAGAATAGAACAATGTAGACAGCTAGGGTTCTGTTGTCTTTCCATGTGCCAACCTGTAATAAACGATTTCTTATTTAACTGTAGTATTTAGAATGATACAATAAAAAAAGTGAAAGCACTTTACACAATATTCACAAAATTCAAGGTACTTTCTAATCCTTCGTAATATCGTTACACATTGCTAGATTTAAAGTAACTTTATGAATGAACGTACTTTTGTCTTTGTGAGTTGATTTTTGACTATGAATGTAATATACCCGGACATCTTCTTAGAAACTTACCTTTCTTGCCCATATCATCCGCTACTGCCTGAATGTCAACATCCGGGTCACTCGATCCGACTGAGAAACACGTCATAACCGGTTCCCCCAGCACATATAAGCCCTGCCATGGATAGAAGGGCAATAATTATATTGTCGTGCACTTGTCAGGTTAATTATGATTTGTGCAAGTGAACCACGTTCGATAGAAAAGTAATACACTCTTGCTTGCTTCATCCGGTGCATATTTGTAACACAATCACTTCGACAGTGAATGCTCTCTCTGGCTTCGACTAGTACTCTATGCAATGTATCCTATATTTACATTTCCACTATAATTTCCTCTATACGCATTTTACTAGAGGAAATTGCGTTCATATTGCTATGAACACAATCTGATCAGCGCCATGTTCATGCCGGTATGAACGTCGAAAATATGCCGTTCAACCCCTATGAAATCTACACGGATAATTATCTGTGATGTGATATCTAAATATAGTAACACGTGCCTGTATCTTAGCGACGCCCTGTTTGAGTTTGTCGGTGGTTGCCATGAGTTCCCTGGCCCGCTCCATGTAGCCGTCCACACCCAAAGCCATCATAGAAGCCCATGCTGCGGCGATGTTCCCACCTATAAAACGATGATTAGAAATACGAGAAAGGAACAACTTATTTGAAAATCTTGTTTGTTTGTGCATTCAACTTAACAAAGTTAACATTGTACTGCCCCATATGGCCTTTCCGTCCATTTAGGATTCATTAATGACAATTAAGTTACAAAAATGTCTAAATCATATGTAGTATACAACGCAATATGAAAGAGCCTAAAGAACCCTTCATAACGTTATAAATTTCATATTTTGGCTACGAGAGATAATTACACTCAAAGCCAGTATTGTCTAAAATTATGGAAAATAACATTAGTTATAATTGATAAAACAAAAAAGGCATACAAATCACTATAATACATTAAGGACATACTTAACTCAATATGCATATAAATGTATATATAAAAGGTGGTGTTTAATGACGTCTGGGAGAAGAGCCTAAAATGCATTCCTGAAAGTGTAGGTCGTCATATCCTGCTTGAATTTGGCCAGGGTCTTTGACTTTCTGATAGCAAATGGTAAGCTATTCCACAGCGTGGCCGAAACCACCCCAAAGCCCCAGTTTCCATAGGTCAAAGTACAAGATTTTTGGACACACAATAATGATTCTGTCTCCGACCACAGTGATGGTGACGGCTGATACAGGGTATCAAGCTTCTGCAAATGCTGGAGAGCTGACTTGTACATTCAGTGCCTTGTATGTGTACACCAAAATATTGTACTGCGACCTGTATAATACATGTAACCAGTACACTGAATAAAGCGCAGGATTCTCACGAGTAACCAGACGTGCTGCAGTGTTCTAGACCCTCTGCAGACGGCTAGTTAGTTTGTCAACTATACCAGAGCATGGCTTTACCATATTCCAAGCGGGAGGTAACAAGTGAATGCACTAAAATCTTGCATGCATCTGCAGTT